ATGTACATAATATCTTTCTCACGTTTTCTTCCATTGTCGAAATACGGTATTACCACCTAGAAAATTGCCAGAAAGAAGGGTGGCAGGTAGAACGTAAACACGGTCCATGTTAAAAACCAATCGCAGAATGAAAGTGCACATTCGCAGGAAGCAAATAACCCCCAGTGACCCTTTCTTCGTGTCTCCATTGCTCCCTCAAGGGCAATTCGAAATCAATGCTTCCCGGTGGACGGATACATTAATCCATTTCGGGAACCCCCTCAAGGGAATCTCGTCGTACTTCCTTCACCTCGAAGGTAGACACACGAGAGGAATTACTAGGAGGAACAAATAAAACGAATGTATTTCCGACGGAAGCCAGGGGAAAAGGATTCGAGTTCGACTGGGTAATATCGTAATAAAAATCCCGGTATTTCCTCTTCCGCGATTACTCCGTTATCGGTGAATCTGCAGGAATTCGAAAGAAATTAGGCGCCCATAAAAAAGCAAAAAAAATACTGAACAGTACTGTACTTCACTGTACAAAAGAATCACGAGGCTTCCGCGTCAGGTCATGAACGATTTCCCAGAACTTGCTTCTTTTCATCGATCTTTTCAATCCCAACGGACATCAATAGACTGCATGAATTCAGATACAGTATTCGTGCCAAATTCCATTTCTTGATACGCGTTTGAAGCATTATTGACTGCTCCTCAAAAAGTACCGAATTGCATACTGTATACTATACTTCAGTGACAGCGTCGGCATTGTCCAGTTTTTCAGCACAGAGTTTGGACAAATGAAGGTTCACAACATCACAATACTTTCTAATATTGGCGATCAAATGAAATGTAGAATAAATGAAGCCAAGAAGCCTCAATAATTGCGACTAAAAACACTTTAATTGAGATCTTTGAACGATTCCCTGAAACCCGGCAAAGACAGATTACATCATGGAAGATAATTTTGTTTGCAATTAAAATAATATACAACTACGCAAAGTAGTACTCACACAGCATTCCTTTTCACAGTTCTGCAATTATCATGAACACCAGAAACACTCATTATTTCAGTTGCACTGTTTTCAATCGTACTCGGACATCATGTACGAACATCATCTAGTTGAGTACAGTCCAGAAAAGTAAAAAATACTGTATAACATTCTATTCTTTTCTCCCTTTTTTTTAAAATATTGCATTGATTCATCTCAATTTATGACCAAGCACTCAGTGAAATCCAAACCTTCCGGGAAATATTTACGAATAATAATGGTTGAACGGGGCAGAGAAAAAGTTCTCCAAAAAAGGTTCAATAAAATGTTGTTCAAGTATGTACATGATTTCAGCAAAATCGGGTGGTATTCGTTTCATGGGATGTTTATCGAAGGATCTTTCGCGTGGTCCACATTTCGATAAAATATCAAGAAGCACAAATACGTTTATCCGCAAAAACCGTCCACGACGCACGAAGTTCGACAAAGCGTTTTACTGCCAGGAAAAGATCGTCATCAGATTATTTATTTTTGTAATATTTTTGCAAAAATTCAAGCATTACAATGATACAATTCTAGACACTCATTAGCACTCATTACACCCTGATTTTGTCGGGTATCACACAAAATAAATTCCACGTAACCCAAGGATGGAGCAGAAAATTAAATCAGTGGCGTTATTTTTTTTTCGTAGTTTCCAGAACGTTGCCAAGACTGGGGAAAATGTCCTGCAATGAACAAAGCAGAACGAACATTTCACTCGTTCTGATTTGTATGAAAATCGTCAAATTATAACAGAATATGAGAAACTGTCAACGACGCAGCACGTAATATGAAAAAAAACTGGAATCTCCTGAAAACCCAAGAACTCAGACTTTTTTTTTCATTTTCGACGACCCATGGAAAATTCAATAGCATCATCTAATACGCTTGTCATGACACAAGAAACTGCGCAGCTGACAAGCATGACCAAGAAATCATGAAAGAGAATGTCGAAGGATCCAGAGAATGTCTACTCTGCCAGAATCTATGCCCTGAGCGCCAGCATTTCAAATCACTATGGGCTACACGCGCATCGAATCAAAGAAGCATTCGTGCAATCAATTCTGCAAACAAAACTTGAGCTACCGAAACAGTTGCGGAATACCAAGTAAAAAGATAACAAATGCACTTAAGGCACGCAAAAGTTTTTTTTTCTAGAAGACTGCCAGCAAATATTAGTAGAATCACTTGCGAAATATAAATATGCCACATGAAGATAAATTGAGAAGCAAGTTAAAGGGATCAAACCTGTTCAAATTTTTCAATAAGAAATTCACCACTGTGCTACACCAGGAGAGGAGCAAAATAAAAAGATTCTTTGTCACGAAATATAGTAAAATTTCTCCACTACAGAATTTTTGGGATCAGGAAAAAATATTTGCAATGAACAATTTTTGCATACAACAATTCCAATAATATTGAAAGGTGGCTAGTGGACAGGGACCTCAAAAACAGATACAGTACATGTACCTGTAAATTGTAATGAACTTTGAAAAATTTATCTTCGCCCATCAACAATCACAGACTCCAAAAAATGCGTCTGAAATGAGGTTATTTTGACAATGAGAATAAACGGGAAAAAATCAAGAAGTACCAATGCATTCTTGGGTTTGGGCTTTCACCAAGTTCACTTTCATTATATCGTGAGTTCCAGTCAATTAATTCCACGTCTACCACGAATCATCAATATTAGAAGAAAACCAAGGGAAAATCGCTCAAAAAAAAAAACAAAAGTAATCTTCCATTAGGAAACAGAATCGACATCAAAATGAGTGAGTAGGACAAACTTAACTTCTTGATGGGAGTTCGGGAATGACCAGAAGATGCGTCTGAGGAGGTGATCAAGAAAGTGTTCTGAATGCTTCAAGAAACCTGAGTTTTCCGAGTCTTGACAACGATCAAACACCTGCTACTTTGAATCTGACGCTTCTCGTCGCATGTCAGGCAAAACTTTACTTTCCAACTGTGCAATTATGTTGCAAATTGCCTGCAAATGCGAAAACTTGCAATTATTCGCGCGGCGTATTGCAAAAGCGCTGTTTGCAGGGTGAGTCTGAGAAAAATGTGCTACATCTAAATACCCCACATTTTCACAAAATACCGTAAGTGAAATACACTATGCTCTTTTATTTTTAGACGCAGGAAGGCTTTTGCCTTTATGGCTGTCATCTGCTTGATTGGAATATCACTTTGCTTGCGGTCTAGTGATCATGATTACAACTACTCTAGCCATTTGGAAAAAGGTGAGAACATGCACTCAAATGTCAATATCCACGTCCATGTAGTTCTTTTACAATAATTCACCAATAGGTATTTTTCCACAATCAGATCAATCTGTTGAACGGTACGTTTGAAAAAATTGGCTTATAGACAGAAAACTATAAAAAACACAGTCCAATTTTTATTAACGTACTGTATAACACAACTTCGCAGGCGACGGCTTGCAGATTATTCATGGAAGAGTATACAAATTATTCCAGAAGTAAAACGCTGTAAGTTCATGACTCAAAATCAACTGAAATACTCGGTCTGTTTCGCAAGTTTTGACAGGTCCTCATCACATATCATGACAAATTGGCAGATATCTCAGAGATGGGTCAAATTTGTATTATCAGAGTTTAATAATTTGACGCATCTGTGCTGAAATGGTGTGAAGAACGACAATTAAAATTTACCTCACTCTTTAGCCAAAAAAGGCTTCTCAGCAGTCAATTTTTTGACAGCTTTTTATAGACTCGCTGTCACTGATGATAAAACAAAATCTTTCAATAAATGATTAGTTCTTCGGAAATCTTCCCTTTACAAACTTGAATGAGCAATTGGAATCTTCGCGTGGATTTTCTATTGTGAATCCAAATACAATAGAATTTCATCGTTGTATTTTCAGGGTCTATTGATACAAACGAAGCTTGTCCAGGATTCACAATTGACGGGGAAGCTGTTTGTTTGAACAAAAATGTGACACTCATCATCCTCATCTTGAGTAACTACAAAGAAGTTGTATGTACATCACACAAATTCAATTTAGCTAGCGCTTTTCCAATTAAAAAAAAAACATGATCATTGTTATGCAGATTGTACCAAGAACAACATTATCCTAACAAATAATGTTCTCAAATAAATTGTAACTAATTTAATAGCCCAACAGACATTTCAGGTATTTAAAAAAAAATTCGGTGTTGTACTTGTCAGGCCACCAAAGTGATTTTCAAACCTTGAGCACCATTTTGGCCATTCAATGATTATTCAAAAGTTTTGGAATATGTCATAAAGTTATGAAACACTGTGCTTAAGACGAATATACTAATGACGGAATTGAAGAAATTTTTCCCAAGAATGGCCTCGAGAAAAAATACAACGCCTTATCAAGTAATGGACATGCAACAGCAAACTTTTGTCACAAACGCTAACTTCAAGTAACTTCTTTAAAAAAAATAAATAAATCTGTCCACTGAAAAAAGTTGTTTTTTTTTGTCCCTGTGTATTACTAGAATCACCGAAGATAAACTCCATTTGCATTCATCAATTGGAATAATAACTAGATTATATCTTTCTTCAACAATTGAACAGTTCATCAGGAACCAAATTCGGGAAACCTGGAAGCATTCCGCCGAATCTCATCCAGAAATCAAGTCGGCATTCTTGTTGGGCAAGCCAGAAGACCAACAATGGCATTACTGGATTGAAAATGAGCATACAATTTTTGGCGACTTGATCATTGGCAATTTCCCAGATTATCCAGATTATCCAGCGATTAAAATAGACTCTGCCCTCGAATGGGCAGCTACCTACTGTCCCCAAGTAAGTTTATGGTTTGTCATTCATTTTTCTTTAAACATCAAGCCATACAAACGCGAAGAAGAAAAACATGAATTAACATAGACTTGTAGAGCTTCTGAGCTTCAGAGGTAGAGCAAGTGAAAGCCTTGCACATCAAAGGAAACTCCATGATTTACAAGAGCACTTTCTACGGCTTTCCAAGAATAGTCTGTCATTCTTAATCAAATTATTGTCGATATTTCAAAAATCAAAACCTGGGTCTCTTGGGAAAGCAACAAAAAATAGATATGAGACGGAATTTGGAAGTGTACCATCTTGCCGAAAATTCAAAATACTGAAGACTTGCTTAAAATTTTGTGAGAACAAATGTGCCAAGCGAAAGCAGGTGGAATAATTTCCACTGAAAAATAGATGCGTCACTTGCTGAAGGAAAAATCCCCATCAGGATTCGTGAAAATATAGTTCTGAGGACAGACAACGTTGAAGCACAACAGACGAACATCACATCAATATTTTCTATATAAACTGTGCTTGACCAATATTTCCTATACAGTATTTTCAACCAGAAAAAAATGAAAGAACTTGCAGGTCTAAAAAACTGTAAAAATACCAAACTTGTAAAAACTTCCGGAAATATTTAAAAACCAGCTCTTGTTGATTTCCCAGGTTGTTGCAGATTTTTAAATGATCAAACTTTCCAAATAATTCTGGAAAGAAGTATTAAAGCGCAGATGGGAGTCCTGAGTAAAATTATTGCAAGTATTTTTCCACGTTTGTGTCTCATTAATTATCCCATGGTGCTACGTGGGATTCTGAACCATAAACTTATTCGCCTACTCATCAGAGAACAGCATTAAATTTAATATACTGAAAAAAAAGTTGAACAAGAGATTGGTACCTTGAGTATTCAAGAACAGCTATTGTGAGATGAAGCTGATCCAATTTAAAAGAAAATCCTCTTTTAACCTGTATTGCCGGTTCACACACAATTTTGAAGCTAGCAATATTGATAGCAGCTTTTAACGTTAGAATTACTGTCAGAAAATCCGGTGATTTACTTTGATCCATTATTTTTCAGGCCAAGTTGCTGATGGAAGTCCCTGACCATGTTAGTGTCAACGTAAGCAAGCTATTGGACAGCTTCAATACCTTGGAAACCGCTAAGGACACAATATTTCATCTTACAATGAAGATTCCTCCATCACAAAATTATGCATTCCAATTTCCCCGAGTTTTCAACAAAAGTGAACGAAATATTTACTTTGAAGAAGAATCCAGAGCTTTCATTTCAAAAAAGGATACATTTCAAAAACTTTACGGCGCATTTAAGGAGAATCTTGGGCAAAGAAGAAGTCGCAATTTCTTCTCGAAAATAGTACATAAATTGCTTGATTTGAAAATAGTCCCTTTGCCAGATATCCTTTTTTGATGCGTGCGAATTTTTAAGAAAAGAAGGATTGGATATTGACTGACGAAGTGAATGAATTTAAGCTTACAAATAATTAAATACAAATTCAGGGTGAAAGAGGTCAAACTCAATTGGAACAAATAACAAACCTTTCACTGGGGCTTATTCAAAAAATTTTGATAAATTAAATTTTCAATAATATCTCTGATGGTTTCCTTAAATCTTTGGAAATGAAAAAAAATGTTTCCAGAAAAAATTCATGATTATAATATGAACTCATATTTTTAAAAATCGTATGTATTTAAAAAACATTTGATAAATAAAAAATATTTTTTATGAAGAATGTTTGCATATGAATTATTCGAATTTTTAATCACTAATAGTCTCGGAAACAGAATGAGAATTACATCCTGGAAATGACCCCAAAATACAGAGGAAATTTTCTGCTTAAATTGTTGTCAAAATTTTAATCCAGATTGGCTCCAAGACGTGAATGATTTTTCTAAAATAAAAAAACAATCCACTATCAACAATTTTCTTGATTCCCATCATTCAACTCGTTAATTCAAGTCATCTAACCGATCCCGCACCATGGCTTTAGTGCCAATCAAATCTTCAAATGCCACATTTAAGATCCTGAGCGTTGTAGTGAACTAGCATTTGGAAGGACAAAATCGGTTACGCCTTGGATGAATCCAGCCAGTTAAATTCGCAATAGGCTGACAGAAATCTTCAGATTTCTAGACACGCCCTCTAAAAGAAGCATATTCACGTGAGTGTATAATAAATCTTCAATGAAATTGACACTCATTGGAATCGTGACAGTTTCCGGAGTATACTTGCTCAGCATGTGTGTGTTCGCAGCGATTTTGTCGGACGTAGATGGAAACTACGGATCGTTCAAGGGTGAGATTGCAGAAGAAATGGAAAATCGTCAGCCATTCTGAATGATGAACATTTTCACAGAACGCTTTTATCATGTACAGTACTAAAGAATAAAAATAGGAAAAATCGGAATGGACTTTTTCTAACAACTAATAACACATGCCGAGTTCGAATTCAAAATACAGCATCTTTCAACTGAAGGATTTTTAGAAATCCGTTCTGCAATAAATAAACCCAAATTGTTTACATTTTTGAAGAAATAAAATTCTTGAGCACTTCTGAAAACCAGGAAAAAAATAATAATTCAGCAGTTCGCCGTGAATTCATGAAAAAATTAAATAAACGTGGTTTTGGGCACATGAATGGAAAATTTCCTGCGATAATTTCGTAAAATAAAAGTTCGACTGTTTCAATCATTTTCTACGCATTTCTTTGGAAATATTTTCCAAAGAAGCATTTCATTTGGAACAGCAAACATGCCTTCATTAAATCGCTCAACGTTGACGAAAGCGCACAAAAACCGATTTCAAAAATCATCGCAATCGTTTAACAGAATATTTTTCGGTGGGCTTAAACATTTCAAGGAGTGAAGGTTCGAGATCTTTTGAAACCAGGATTCGAAATTGAAAATTCGAAGCTGTGCTCGCCGTCAAATTCATCCATTCATTTACTACTGGTCGTCATGAGTGCACCTCAAAACTTCGTAAGTCCAGGTAGACCCTCATAATTTAAATTACACTAATCATCAACTTCGAAAAATTTTCAACAGTTACGCAGGAAGGCAATTCGAGAAACCTGGGCATCCGAAGCCACAGACCAAGTAAAAGTCGCATTTCTCACAGGAAAAGCAGAAGACCCCGTCGTCGATTTTCAGCTGCAACAAGAACATCGCATACATCAAGACATAATCAAAGTAAACTTCCTCGACGTATACACATCATTATCTCTCAAATCAGCCTCAATGCTTAACTGGGTCCACACTTTTTGCAAAAACGTGAGTATTGTACGGATAAACATTTAATCAGATACAAATGAAATAATGTCCTTTATGAAACGATCCAGGCGCAGTTTGCGATAAAGGTCGACGAGGACATGATGGTGAATGTCAAAAGAATGTCAAGTTACTTCCAAGCTCAGGAAAATGCTTCCAAAACAATTTATTGTCGAGTGAAGCCGGCAGGAAACAAGGTTATCAGGTGAAACATTTAAAAAGCTGCCACTTCGTGAGAATTCCTGAGGTAAATAGAGAAGATCAGAGAGAACATCTTTCTGTGTCAAAAATTGAGCGGAAGAAAATTGCATTTCTAAATTTTCTAAAGCGAATCAAGTCCCATTAGCATTTTTCGTGCTCGTAACAATTGAAATTCCGTTAGAGACAATTTTAAACGGAAACTCATTCCCTGGAACATTCATCATAAATTATTGTTTGTACTGTAGTTCCAACGGAAATTAAATAACGCAGACGTCGCAAAAATATTTGCACAAGGCGTTCCAATACTGTCAGCTATCCAGAAAAATTATCAAAATTCAGCGTGTAGTTCAGGGGCTAGGAAAAATAATCCATCATTGAAATAGACGGAAAATAAATGAATTTTCAGCCAGCGAAAGAGGCAATCCGAATTTCTACGACGTGATTTTTCTCCTTTAGTCCTTTCCCTCAATATATTACTGGAAATACGCAGAAAATCACGAAATTCAACCAGTATGCGAGAGAGTAACTTCCTCCCTCGCGTTTAATGCTCAAAACGCGAACCAAAACCCCATTTCAACGCGTAGAAGTACAATTTATGCACAATACATTACCGTCAACGAATTTTTCATGTCCCCAGTTCACGTATCTCATTTACAGTAAATCCTCCGCACTCGATACATAACCCATCGAACCAGTCCGTAGCATGTCAATATTTATTCTGGTCTCCCAAAATTCTCGCAAGGAATTCTACCGGTATTCTCCCGTCCCGGAGTCTTGAAAGGCTACGCGGACACTCCAAAATATTGCAGAACATGAGTAGAATTGAATTTCGAAAGGGTTTAAAACGGCGGAATCCTAATTGAAATTCGCACATGAAGAGGAATGGCATAATCTCAAGGATATTGGGCTGTGAGAAATATACTAGCACTGCAGTACTTTGCCTGTGACCCGCAGTCGAGGGCTTCAAGAATAATTTGCCTGAATGGTTCCGAAAATAAAAGTCAACAAGGGCTTCCCCAAAGACAAAAAAAGAAGGTCGAAACCCGCTTTCGGGTAATGATCATCATTTTCTCGACTCTAGCATCGATCAGACTTTAATTTTTACTTATTCCGCAGAAGCCTCCAGTCAAAATATGTTCATAACCAAAATAAATTAATTAAAATTGAAAATTCGAATAAAATAATTCGACTACACGGCTTCGTCATCGAAATAAATAACAAAATGAGCTTCGCAGATAGGAAAAAAAATCTGATAACCCTTTCAAAGTAATGATGTACTGTATTTTTCAACTGAAATAATAAGCAGAGCTTCATTTATGTTGATTCCTACGAGACCTCAAGGCAAAATATATCCGTAACCCCACAGAAACAATATATATACAGTATATAGAACAATTCGCTTGAAAGACTCCGTCATCAAAATAAACAACAAAATTAGCTTTTCGAATACTATCGATAAAATGAGGGCTAGAAAAATGGTGATTTTCAACTGTAATACAGTAAAGTAATAATCACAACTTCGCTTGTGCTGGATTCCTCAGAGACCTGAAGGCAAAATGTATCCGTAACCCAAAATAAAAAATACTGTACATCGCAGAATTTGCCTGAACGACTTCGTCATGGAAATGGATAAAAAATCTTGAAAACCTATTTCAGAGTAATGATGATTCATTTTTCGAAGTATAATTATTTATAACTACACGAAGACCTCCAGCAGAAATATATGCGTACCCAAAAATAAATGCATAAATATTTATGAAATTCAAATACATTCCAAAAAAGGGCTCCTTTTCGAGGAATTCTTCTCAAGAGTACGGTAATAATGATCCATAGTTTATTCCTCAATATACTGTAGATCAGAGCCTTCATGTTCGCTGATCTCCACAGAGACCGCAAATCAAAATACTTCGTACCCTCATCCATGTACCCCAACGATGTGTACCCAGAATACTGCGCAGGGCCAGCATACGCAATCACTTCCGACGCGATAACCGAGCTTTGGCATCAAGTGATGGACGAGCAATTCGTCTGGATGGAGGACTTCCTCATCACGGGCCTGGCGGCAGGGAACCTTGGGCTTCGACTCGTCGATAACGACGACTTCGTTGCCCAAAGCCCAAAGAACCCGAGGCGGGAAGAGGTCCTGAATTACTTGGTATACTATGGACGAAGTCACGAGTGCATGCGTCTTCTGTGGAACGAACACGTCAAGGCTGAACGAAGGGGTTTCCTCCGAAAGTGATGAATAAAAAGAGGGGGCATTCAGGATTGACCTGTTTTCATTTTTTCCCCTTTTTTCTTCCGGGAATCGAATCTTCGATCAACATTACAAGGGTACAGTATTTACTACTCCAATGGAAGACGCCATCGATTTCAAGACACACAATTGAAGGCGAAACATTTTTGCCTGCGAATAAACGACACTTTCTCATTGAGCCAAATTTATATTGCTTACGCTTCAATTACCCGCTCAATCTCTTTCAAAACTTCAATTACGTATCAGTAATTCGACTACAGTGTACAGTACTTAGAATGAAAATGGTACAGAGTTTCTCAATTTAATTTTACATTTGGACAGACATAAAAAATTGCCTTGGTCATGAAAAAAAGTTGCATTTCCCTTACGTGTTCAAGGCCCAACAAATATATCAAGCCCATTTTTCAAGGCTTCTTTTATTTTATTTGAGTGATTGCGGAAATTTTCAGAAATTCTCCGAGTTCAAAATTACATTACATGAGGATTCATCATTCAAAATATTTTCATCAGGACTAGACCTTCAGCGTTGCCAGGCAGTTCGCACATTTTTGAAATCTAAGAGTTTTAACGGCGATGTCGTGTAAAACTTATTTAAAAGCTAATTCTAGCGGCGATCATGAGGCTAAAAATTTATCCGTTCTATATTTTTCAATGAATTCATTGAGTCAAAAAGGATATCGAAACTGAACAAAATTAAATTTCACGGAGCTAAAAAGCAAAAAAGGGCTATAGAATTTTTTTCAGGGTCGAATATCGATTTCTATAGCTATTTTCATCAGGAAGTCCGAGAATTTCTGAAAAATCTCCAGGTTCTCAGCTGTACACCACAAAAATTCAATGAAATGCTTCGAAAATTTAAAAATGTTTTCTTTCTTTCATTTATCCATTCATTTCTCGATTCGGACTAATATGTTCTGACACTCCTGGAAAGTAATAAAAGAGAATGCACTTCAAAAATATAGAATCAAAAAGTAATTTTTTATATCCACTATACGTGTACACCGCAAATTTTTGAGCATCTTCATCTGAAAAAATATCCAGGAGAAAGAATTTTGTTCGATCGGCAAAATCTTTGCTCTATTTTGTGGGTGGTTCACAGGCACAGCATTTCAACAGATCATTTTTAATTGAAACAAGTAGAAGTTGAGCTAATTATCTCCTTCTCCTGAAAACTGCCAAGAGAAATTCAGGAGCCATAAATGCCATCCCCTGTTATCTAATTTTACGAGATCTTCGCAGTTCCAAAATATTACCAATTAATAACTACATTAACACGTAAAGGCCACATCGTCAGAAATGAGCCCATAAATCCGCTCCAGATGTCATCCAAGAGTTTCGTCGAGGCCCTTTCTGAATGACGGCGACGGGCTCACAATAACTTCCGGGAACGATTTGATGACATATTGAACTTCCTTCGAAGACAGACGAGTCAGATTGCTTCGCGTGGCTCAGAAAAAATTCCCGGTTTCCAAAGAAACATGAAATCAACAAAAATCGCAATTTGTGTCTGCACGTACTTATCTTTGATTTACTATACGACGCTTCTGACTTCTTTAAACAGTGACAGTGGCGGTTTCGACACAAAACCTCGTGAGCATTAAGACAATTTTCGAGGAATTTCCAAAGACATGCCTCAGTCACAAACAAATTATCCCGGATTCAATTCTGCTATGTAAGCATAGTTACCGTCTTTCGCAGGGAAGAAAGTCGGTGACTTGCAGATCCCAGGATACAGAATCAATAATTCCAAAATTTGCTCAGTAACTTCAGGAAAAACTGTGGAACTCTTCGTCATCATAATTAGTAAACCGAGCAATTTTGTGAGTAAAATACACGCTCTTTTTTTAGAGACTTTTTGTAATCCAGCTCATTAGTGTTCAAAATTAACATCACGGTAACGAATCATTCGTTGAATTCTATGCGCCCCCCCCAACAAGTTAGATTTTGCGAGAAGTCTGCAGCTTTTTCTTGAAATTCGATAGGGCTTTCAAAGAGAAGGTCGTACTTCCAAATGCAAATAACCAGGAAATTCATACACATCATGATGGATAATTATTTTTGAAGGCTTTGCAAGTGGAAAATATCGTTCCCTAAAATTTCCATAGCAGATAAACGGTAATAATTCTTAATTAAGTAGGAGGTTTGGAATAAAGATGAATTTCATCTGACAACTCTTCTTGCTCCAAGAATAGAAACCATTTTCTCCGCATCAAATTTCAAGGCCTAATTTTTCAGGCAGGACTTACGTCTTTTTAGCACTGGTTGAATAAGTCTAGTGCTTCTTTGAAGACATGTCATTTTTATACAAATGAAAATTTTATTTTTCGAACAGCGTTTCAGAGATGCAATTCGTGAAACTTGGGCAACGCAGGCAAATGGGTCAGGAGTTGCATACGCATTTCTTATCGGAAATCCAAATGACGAATACTTGAATGAAAAATTATTGAAGGAGCATCAGAGAAACGAGGATCTTATACAAAGCAACTCGTACGACTCGTACGCAACTTTGACAATCAAATCGCTTACTCTCCTCCAATGGGTCAGCACATTCTGCAAACACGTAATACCAACGGCGAATGAAATCTCCAGCCCGAAAATTTGATCGATAGCATTATGTTTTTTTTTCAATAGGCAAAATTCGTTTTGAAAGTTGACGACGATGTGATGGTCAACATTCAAAACATCTTGGATTTTCTGAGAGTACATGCAACCGCCACAAGAATGATCTTCTGCACTGTGCGACCAATGGGTCAGCGCGTCATCAGGTGATTTTCAACCCAACTTCCTGAGCATATTCAAATTTAAAAAAAAAAGATTCAAATCGGTCATCAAAACGTACAGCAGATGCAGTATAGAACCAACAAAAAATAATTTTTATCGCAATAAAATTTTATCCCGACTACAGTAGGGAAACTGTTTCCTAGAAAATTCAAGTTTTGTGTAACAGTCAATCTGTTGATGTTCAAGATATAAATTTGAATTAATTTTATAATCGAAGCATCTTCAGCACCAATTTGTAAATATTCTCATTAGTTTGGTCTATTCGAAGCTTTTGACTGATCAAAGGCCAAGAGTTAGAAGAAAATTTTCAATAGTCACGGAAGCGCCTCATCATAAAATGTATTCAGATCGTTCAATAAAATAAAAAATATACAGTACATACTGAGACATATGGTAAGTTACACAAATATATATCTTTCCAATCGTGCGATTTATTGGTTCGTTGCTCAGAAAAAAAAAATAGTTCCCAACTCATTTTCTCGTTTTTTAAAGTTAAGAAGCAAACATTTTTCGTACCAAAGGAAGGATTCCACGCCTTTGAATGATCAAAAATCGAAGGTATGAAAATCCAAGAAATTCTCAAATTGCCACGGAAGCGTCTCTGCATTGAAAAAAAGTTGTTCAAATCTTTCAATAATAAATACATCCAGCGACAGATATTAAGTTACGTAAATAATGCCCCGTTTCCAATCACGCATTTCCATAAATTAGTGCATATCCCAACTTACTCCCTCGCTAGCTTTCATTTTAAACTTTGTAAAGGTGAGAAGCACTAATTTGTATTAGCAGAAAAGGATTCAAGGTCTTCAAATGATCAAATGCCAAGGCTTTGAAAATCACAGGAATTCTTACATTGTCGCTGGAGTGCCTCTGCATCAACAGTGCAGATCTTTCAAAAAAAAAATTATCCCGCGACTGATTTTTAGTAATACTTTACAAAGAATTTTCCGTTTCTAGTCACGCGCTGTCGAAAATCATATCCCAACTTATTTTCTCGCTCGATTTGATTTTTAAATTATTTTATAAGAAGCAAACATTTTTCGTACCAAAGGAAGGATTCCACGCCTTTGAATGATCAAAAATCGAAGGTATGAAAATCCAAGAAATTCTCAAATTGCCACGGAAGCGTCTCTGCATTGAAAAAAAGTTGGTCAAATCCTTCAATAATAAATACATCGAGCGACAGATATTGAGTTACGTAAATAATGCCCCTTTTCCAATCACGTGTTTCCATAAATTAGTGCATATCCCAACATACTCCCTCGCTAGCTTTCATTTTAAACTTTTTAAAGGTGTCAAGCACTTATTTGCATTAGCAGAAAAGTATTCAAGGTCTTCAAATGATCAAATGCCAAGGCTTTGAAAATCACAGGAATCCTTACATTGTCGCTGAAGTGCCTCTGCATCAACAGTGCAGATCTTTAAAAAAAAATTATCCCGCGACTGATTTTTAGTAATACTTTACAAAGAATTTTCCGTTTCTAGTCACGCGCTGTCGAAAATCATATCCCAACTTATTTTCTCGCTCGATTTGATTTTTAAATTATTTTCAAATATTATTTTGTCTTACCAGAGACAATTTAAAGGCTTTTGAATCACCAAACTCCGAGAGTTTAAAAATCTCAGAAATTTTCGAAATCAAAATCCGCAGAGATCCGACTTCAAAGTACAACATGCCGAAATGGATGTTTCCAGAGGATAAGTTGCCAGCGTATTGTCGCGGAGGCGCATACGTATTAACAGCCGACTCGATATCGCCTCTTTGGCACCAAGTCCGCCAAGAACAATTCATTCTGCTCGAGGATCTTCTCGTCACAGGAATCGCGGCTCCAAAATGCGGCATTCAAAAGAAGCACAACTTGAACTTTGTCCCTCCGAAGTCCAAAGACGACGGAAGAAAAGAGATTGAGGGTTTCTTTTCGTATTATGCTCAAAGTCCGGAGAATATGAAGCTTTTGTGGAAAGTGGTAACTCGCGATGATGCAATGGATTGAAGTACTTGATAAAGTACGAAGTGAGCTTAAAATTCCTAGTGGTCTCACTTGTATTGTTGTGGTTACCCATCATAAAGCGCGCTTCTTTTGCCAAAAAACAAAAAACAAAGAGCCGAGTAAGACGCATTCGTGTCGCATATACGGAGAAATTTTTTCGCAAATGCTTTTGAAAATTTAGTGAGTCCTATAATTGATATTAAACTCGCGAGTGAAGAGCACGATCGCCTCTCGCCAACTCAATCCTTCCCTTCATAATCGTCTACATTAAATAAAATAAATTATCATCGTTACTTTCACTTGAATGAGGACAAAAGTTACTTCGCAATCCTCATTTTTATTAGAAGTTCTGGAAAAAAAACACTAAAATATTTAGCTGGTAACTGCCGCATAAACAAAATCAATGGACTCGTGAGATTTTGGTGTGAAATAATATGAATGCTTTTCAGATTCGAAGGCAACAATCCGGTCAATTTCAGCATGACATCCTGTGTTTGAATAAATCAGAATATGCAGAATGCGTTTAACCAAAAATTTAAAATTTCAGAAAATACGCCTTTTCCGACAACAAAAATTGAGCTTCACAGCATCCACAGTTTTCGTAATTTCACCCCAGGAGTTTTGAAAATCCTTTAAAAAATCCCCTGTGGACATCGTAGATTAAACCACGAAAAATACGGTATCCGTATATTTTGACCATGTTCCCGAAGAAGCTCAAATAAATTCAAGGCCCCCGGGAAACCCAAGCATTCATCGCGGCAAAATGCAACAATGTATCATTAAAAGATCAATAGCAACTGCGAAATTCCGTCCTTAATTATCCCATAATAGCGCGAAATCATAAAAGAAAGTGTTTGATGAAAAGTATTCAACATTCAGCCTCGTTTTGTTTTCTCATTCGTTAGACAAATCACTGCAGATCTCATTCGAGTACTATGGAGATGCTTGTGTAAAGCACATACAAAACTGTTGAATCGGCACTATTTCAAGAACGCACACAATAAATGAAACGATAAAAATATTTCACTGAAATTATGAGAAGGAATGTTTGTATGCGCTCGAACTTGAGGAGAACCCCCCCCCCCCCCCAAAATACCCCAGATGGAAACAGTCAGGACNCCCCCCCCCCCCCCCCCCCCCCCCCCAAAAAAACCCCCAGATGGAAACAGTCAGGACAAAAGAACTCCCAGACATTCGACTCGGGATATGAGGGCAAAAGTCATTACTCCGTTACTGTTGTCATTAGCGTCAACATGATTTGCACCAACCCCTACTGCATTCGACAAAGGTGGAAGGTGACCCAGCAGACCAGGAAATGAATTCCGTCACGACGCAGTCAGTGTCGGCGACATTTCATCAATAACAGCGTCACGCCGAGTCTTTTTTAGCTTTCACGCAAGCTGTTTTTTCTTTGAGTTTCTTCTTCTACTCAAGAACTCCACAGAATCGAGCGAAGGAGGAAAGAAAAAAACTCGTTACTCAGGGACCGAAACGAATGGAGGCTTTTCAGAAATCGCCCCGGGATATCTCATTGCATTTTCTTAAAACAAACCGAGCTCATAAGGCATTCACAACGTCTGTGAAGACACGTGAGACGTTTTCGGGCGATAAATCAGCTGCTGAAATGGGTTTGCTCAACCGTATTTTCAGCCTTCGGATTTTAATAACTTCAAATAAATACCCTGGGTGCCCAAGTTTCTCAATCAGAATCCTCGGAACCCCCGCGAAATGACTGATATAAATAACATAACTCGACGCAATTTACGTTTCCATTTCCTACAGATTTAATTTACTTGCAGCTCTGACTTGGGTGAAGTTATTTGGGCATCAGCATTATTGGCACAGAAAGACATCAGGACCTATTTTCCGTCGGATCGTGAATGTCAAATTTGCACTCTGGTGAATCTTACAATTTTTAAATAATGTGATCGCTTGCAAATGCGTGAGGTATAAAATTGCAAAAGTAAGTAACAATGTTGCTTCCAAAAGGGCAAAAATTTTCTCCGGAAATATATTTGAGCNCCAGCAGACCAGGAAATGAATTCCGTCACGACGCAGTCAGTGTCGGCGACATTTCATCAATAACAGCGTCACGCCGAGTCTTTTTTAGCTTTCACGCAAGCTGTTTTTTCTTTGAGTTTCTTCTTCTGCTCAAGAACTCTGCAGAATCGAGCGAAGGGAAAAAAAAAACTCGTTACTCAGGGACCGAAACGAATGGAGGCTTTTCAGAAATCGCCCCGGGATATCTCATTGCATTTTCTTGAAACAAACCGAGCTCATAAGGCATTCACAACATCTGTGAAGACACGTGAGACGTTTTCGGGCGATAAATCAGCTGCTGAAATGGGTTTGCTCAACCGTATTTTCAGCCTTCGGATTTTAATAACTTCAAAAAAATACCTTAGGTGCTCAAGTTTCTCAATCAGAATCCTCGAAACCCCAGCGAAATGCCTGATATAAATAACATAACTCGACGCAATTTCCGTTTCCATTTCCTACAGATTTAATTTACTTGCAGCTCTGACTTGGGTGAAGTTATTTGGGCATCAGCATTATTGGCACAGAAAGACATCAGGACCTATTTTCCGTCGGATCGTGAATGTCAAATTTGCACTCTGGTGAATCTTACAATTTTTAAATAATGTGATCGCTTGCAAATGCGTGAGGTATAAAATTGCAAAAGTAAGTAACAATGTTGCTTCCAAAAGGACAAAAATTTTCTCCGGAAATATATTTAAGCCGGATTTCATGTTATTTCGATTTGTGTCTCAAGTTCGTGCCTCTTGTGCGTTGAATTCAATAAACTGAATTTATTTTTAGTACGGTTTATGTGTTCAATTAATTACTTCAATTTGTTTGGATCATTCCGCCACAAATTACGGTACTGTATGCCAATTTGGGTGACCAAATTAGGCCGGAGCGAAATGGAACCTGAATATGCTCTTCGAATCTCATTTCACCCCACTTTTTTGCCACTTGAATAAACAATGATTTCAATTTTCGGATTATTTATTGAGCTTCAGGCATCAGTTACTATGATTTATTTTGTTTCGCAGAAACACTAATAAACATAAATGCGTAATTCCATACCAGCTGAAAAGTTCAACCTTACTACGGTATTTATGAAAAATTAGCAATAATTCAGAAATGAAACTGGTCGAGGTATCCGCGTTGGGCCATTTTATTAAATCTACCGTATATATATGACCAGGTTGTTTGTAAAATCAGTATCCCTCGATGCATTAAGACCAAATTATGTGATGGCCAGGCGTGTGTTCCACCTTTGGGCTTGCTCCTTCCACGCAAATTTAGTGGAAAATTTGCAAGATGGTTCGAATATAATATCCTCATGAAATACGCGTTTTTTTTCTAGAGAAGGTGGAAGGTTTTACCCCCGAAGTACAGTATATTTTGGGTAAAGTCGACGGAATCCTTTCCCATGAATATAATTAATCAGGATGCATGAGGGAAGTTCTTTCGTCGCTCGAGTGGAGAAAACCAGATAGTGGAGAGAAATCTTTTCATCCGCGTGATTGAATGGTACATTTGATGTGCAAATCTTTTCTCTCGGGGAAGATTCAATTTTGTGGGACGAAGGGAGGAACGGAGGAGTTCTTTGAGATTGAAAAACGGTAGACATAGATCAGGATTCAAGCAAAAAAGCAACAAAAAAGAAAAGCGAAAATCCATTTCCGAAAATAGAACGGTACATTACTTTCCTTCAAAATCGTGATACTCAGAAGCCGTAATTTTTCATAATTTCTAAAAAATGTCGTTTATATACATTTCCAGCAATAAAAATTCGCTACTTCTCAAATCCCGGCATTTCTAATTCTTCCTTTTTTTTAGGAATCTCGCGCATTTTCTTGCATATTTTCAAGATCTTGTTCGGAGAAATTTCCAGCCATAAGAAGCCCCATCTCGTCGACACGCTTCTCGCAGAATCCACGCAAATTATTTCGATCACGCTTTACCCTTTCCGTCGGGAAATCCTCGGAAATCATTTGGCACGCCTCAAAATCGTCAGCTGTCCGGAAGACGAATCGAGAGGACGAAGAAAATCAGCGGCAAGACGAGGAGGCGAACATTACCAGGGACACAGAGAAATACGAGCTCCTCAATCAACTTCCTTCCTACTTGACACGTTCACACTTCATCTGCTCTCCATTCTCGGTCGTCACGTGCCGAAATTAATGAACGCCAGTGACTCAACGATGGTCCGAGGGGAATTAATACAATGTACCTCCTACCGTGTTAGTCACCCATTAAGACGTTTCGGAGGGGAAACCCCGGGGAAAAAAAAAAAACGAGGAAAAATGAACAGGCCTGGCAACGAATTCTATTCATTCGAAAGAACGACAGGAAAGTCGATTAATTTCTTCGCTTGTTTGCATACGATAGCTCCGCCGAATTGAAAGCCTCGACAAGAACCATGCCCAATGCACCAACGCTGATTTCTAAAGAAGAAAGAAAAAATAACATTCGCAAGCCCCTGAAGTTCTCTTTTGACGGACGATTAAATAAAAATAAAGCCTGCGAATTTCGAAAAAGTAGCGGACACTTCACGTTAGCAAGAAGTTTGGCGGGATTTTCCCGCGGAATCCAATGAAGCTTTTGTTAAATATACAAGGTTAAAATTCAATTGCAAAAATCCAATTCACTCCAATATGCTCAAAAAATGTGACTGAGTAAAGCGAATTTTCAGAATTTTTGCCATTCTTCAACAAAACAACGCGCCGACTTCTCATGACTCCATGGGTGGTCTATTGTTCAAAAAAACCGAAACAATTTTTCAAGATTAATAAAGAAGCAGGAAATCTTGTGCATTGTGGTGTCTTGAAGGTTATCGGAAAGGAAAGTACTGGATTTCGGCAGATCTTCCCACAGCGTATTTGAAGTAATGTACTGTACTCCATTGCCAAAAGTGGAATGAAAAATGCGCAATACGAATGCAGCTTTTGAAAAACACAACCGAACGCTCAGTTGACAAAAATTTCGATGAACAAACCCTCGCTAATTTGGAGCGTAATCACGAAAAATAAATAAAACAGGAAGATGAAAAACTTCCAATTTCCTCTCGTTGCTCAGCATAGATACCTACTGTAAAAATAAAACCAGGGGTTTCTCAAAATATGTTTCATGATATGATCTCATCATCCTATGAACCCATATTTCAAATTTGAAAAAATAACACCGGTAGTAATGATCAATGATTTTTTTTAAAGCAGAGTTATCATGTTATTTAGTCATGATGCAAAATAAACCTTCGTGAAAATAAACTTACCGCTTTAGAAAATCAAAGCCACTTTTTCTCAGTCGAGTAACATTCGGCCCAGTCAATATAAATGCACAGTATTGGAAAGATTTACTTAATACTGTAAATCAAAAATAGCCGAGCCAGCGCCATTACTCCTCCAGCAACATAAAAAATAATTTACAGTACTCAAGCTCGAGTCGTGTTATTCAATTTTTTACACGCAAGTTTTCAAGCTTGGAAATTATGCGAATGCGAATCGAAGTAGGCCTAAGACCAAGCTCAAGAAGCAGGAGAAAATTCATTTAAATGTGATTCTCAGACGGTAGGGTGCGCTTTGTTTTATTAAGAGTCCAGAAACTTCTGAGAATGCTCTCGGGTGTATCTTTATTTCCCGTCGCTGATTTATCTTTTTTTCTTTACACTCGTCTATTTGGCTATCGAACTCAAACTCGAGTTCGGGGTTTCACTTTCCCATCGCGGAAAGTGCAGCAGTTCGGCTGAGGGAGGCATGCATGTGACTTTTCTTCCATATTTCACCAGAAACCTTTTGCGATGAAATAAAAGGCCTCGAAGGGGGGTATTTACGTAGTAAATTACGAGCTAAATCCCTAGTCGTGGTGCAAGACGCAAAAGCAGTCGATTCGCCTCGCAACAGGAGCCACCAACACCAGCTCCTTTCTGCATCACCCAGCTGCGCACAAATCCGGTTGCACTGAGCTTACTCGACATAAGCCGGGAGTCTCGCCAAAGAAGTTAATATCCAAAGGCTCAGACGTAAGAGGGGGGGGGGGGAATGGAAATTCACTAACAATACGTATCACATCGAACGCGTAAGTCGACCCATTTGGAGATCATGAATAATTTTTCGCGGCGCAAATACCCCTTCGTCTGGCAGGCATTTCGAGGCGACTTACCTTATTCGCGACCTGACTTGGCTTGGATAATAATCTCGGCTAATACCAGAAGTTCCTCAGGAGTCTTGCTGGCACCACCTAAATATTCATCACAGGCTGATGAAACCAGGTGGCCAATTTTCAACATTTTCATGGTAAGGTGGAATGGATATGAAATTATAAATATTGTAGTTCAGGGACCTTTGATGTTTACTTCTGATGATCACCAGAGAAACTCGAACACGAATTGCCATTCTTGAAAAATTCAATGCGGGCACTCCGAATTGACAGGACAGTTTCCGTCTGCTCCATGGGTTCTCCGCTGAACTCAATGTGAGTGAATTTCACTGACAAGTTCACTTTTCCGAAATCCATAATTGAAAATACAACCGACACCATAATTTCCATCTGAAATGTTCGGACACGACCAAGCAACAGTTTGATCGTGACGACGGTTGCTTCTGAGACGTGTTTCCCAATTCAGTATATTTTCTGCAGAAAAATTGGCACACACGTCCTTCACAGCAATAAATCCTTTCAGCTCACTAAACTAATTAATGTATTAGTCATGTAAATCAGCGGAGTATTAGTTTAGTATCAGCTGGTATAGTTACACAGGAGGAATACGATACAGTAGTCAAATTCCACCAGACTGACGGCAACGATTTTTTGTACTTAAATCGGAAAATGTTTGAAGATCTCATCGTATGGTTTCCTGATTCTTTATACTCTTGAAAAAGCATTGCATAGTGGATATAATATTCCCCTGCGACAAAAAATTTCAAGTGTAAATAAAAGATGGCGTGATATCGGATTCGGGTTCAAGCAGAAATGTACATTAACACATACCAATACAATCCTCCCAAGTAAAGCAAAAAGGGAAGCACAAAAAATTCGCAATATTGCTTTCTGAAAAGAAGAGTTCTTGCTAAATTTAAAATCCGAAAAAAATCCAGGAGTCCAAGAAATCGGGCAAGGAAGAGAATATTGCAGATTTCCGCCGGCAATAAAAAATAATTGAAATTCTTCGCAGTACAGCACTACAATTCAACGATATTCCAGTTTGAACATACCCTGAAGGCCTGAACAACTTAAAATTTAAATGCAGAATTCGATGCGACATCTCTACGATGAGCAGGCAAATCACTCAGTCTGGGAAACTGAACTGGAGTGGAAAGACCAAACCTTACTTCGGTAATCAACGATGAACAGAAAGTCCACTCTTCAGCGGAAAAGTACTTCTCTCGGGTATCCAGTTTCAATTAGCTAGCATAACACGATATGGCCTAGAGCTAATAAACTGATTTATGCCCCCCCCCCCCCAAAAAAAAAGCGAAACGAAATGCAAGTTACCGGTATATCCGAAGATTGATCAAGAATAATCACTGAGTCGAGAACGTCGGGAACTGGAATGCGAAGAACTCAACTTTCCACGGGCAAATAAGAGTGGACGTAAAAGTAAAATAGTCCACAAAAAAAGGCACGTACACTGGGGCCCCGACATGTGGACGTAATTGGTGTTTACCTTGTCCATACGTCGGAAAGCCATATGTTGGATCATGTTTTCCCCCACACTTCAATAGGAATTTTCCTACAGTAATTGGTTCTCCTGTTGATCGAGAAATACGGAAAAAAGTCCCCACAAAAAAGTAATGAAACAATTTTCTCAACTTCAACACAAACAAAAGAAGTGCAGAAAAAAACCGCAGATGATCTGATCTTTTGGCATGGAAAGGAGTCCAAAGGCGAAAAAAGCAAAAGTCTTCCTATACTGTACAGTACTGTACTCAGATGATACAAAGAGCTCTGAAAAATAAGCCTGTTTTGGATTATTCGTTATAGGGAATTCATAATAAGTTATTTTTAAATTTTTTAATATAAAAAACAAATTCATTCAAGAGATAGCAATTTAGAAAAACAAAACGTTACAATTTTGCAAGAAATGTTGGTCAAGTGTCCGAATCTCAAGACATTGCCCGATGTCGGGGAAGATTTTTGAAATTGTCGATTGTCCCCAAGTCGAAAATCGTCCGTAGGTCGGACCCCACTGTAATTTGATAAAACCCCGGTTTCTCTCTTTTTTTTTCCTCAAACATTTTTTCAAGAAATTGCTGTGGGAATCGGGCCCAGGTCAGTGGACAGCTTCGCATAAATCCGCGCCAGGATAGACCTACATCAAAGCCAGCCGCGGGCGGATCAATCCAAATAGCGACCCAAATACGCTTCTCCCTAATCAATTCCGTCACGCATGTCATTAATTAAGTCGGGCCTTTCGCATGCAAGAAACCGACTTCCCTCCCTCCGAACCAGTCTTCGGTCTTCACTCCAGCGAAATGCAAAGGAGGGAACGGCGAATTATTCATACCCCCCAGACAGCAGCTTCGTGTCACAACTCACCGACAATCATAATTTTCTGCCTCTGCTCTGCTCAGCAATTTCCAGTCATCATTCGTAAAAATTAAAAATAAAGATGCAGAAACATTCGATTCATAACTTTGTGGAGCGATTTTGTTCTTCCATCTCACGAACAAAATCAACAATCGGCAACTCAAACGCAATTTATTTTCACTCATAATTTCAACTTTTTCATTACCTCCTCTAGACAATAAGTAATGAGAGCTCTTTTCTGCCAGATTCAAATATTTTTTCTTTTCTTCTCTCTCCAACATTCCAGCAACAACAACAAAAGCACGTGGAAAATACCTACTGTAAAAATAAAACCAGGGGTTTCTCAAAATATGTTTCATGATATGATCTCATCATCCTATGAACCCATATTTCAAATTTGAAAAAATAACACCGGTAGTAATGATCAATGATTTTTTTAAAGCAGAGTTATCATGTTATTTAGTCATGATGCAAAATAAACCTTCGTGAAAATAAACTTACCGCTTTAGAAAATCAAAACCACTTTGTCTCAGTCGAGTGACATTCGGCCCAGTCAATATTAATGCACAGTATTGGAAAGATTTACTTAATACTGTAAATCAAAAATATCCGAGCCAGCGCCATTACTCCTCCGGCAACATAAAAAAAGAATGTACTCAAGCTCGAGTCGTGTTATTCA